CCTATATATCCTATATTTGTTTAATTAACTGATTATGGCTGTATATTTTGATGGTGTACTTTCTCGTGTATGTTCGTTTATTGAACAAATCGTTAACATCAATAAGTACACACATATTTTCTAGAGAAATACAACATGTCCGTGTATGAATATAAGTTAATATGTGTGTATCTGATTAACACATGCTATATTTTTTACAGCCCGCCACAATTTTTTTTGCTCGTATGCGTTCTCGGCAGGTCATCAGAAGTTGTATCTGGTATCTCCCTTCGTGATGCTAGTGGTCTCTTGTGGATTCCGTTGATCCATAAAATTTTCAATGTTGTTGTGCTGGTTTAGCTTTATGTTCCTTGGTCTCTAATAAAAAATCTAAAACCTGTTGACAACTGTGACCCCAATTAGTTTCTGTATATTAAATCTAAAGTATAAAACTCTGTGAGCACTATTGCAATACGGCAAGTTCGGAAATCACCGATCAAACAAATATCAGTTTTGTACTTCGTACTGCAAGTTTTGACTATTCACTAGATCCATCGCTGGACCTTCAGAAATCGGCTGGCGTGTTTGTATAGCCAACCTCGCAACTTTGCGGTCCGTTGGTGCACTTGATATGGGGGTTATCAAAGCACACTAGTGTGTAACGGAAGGGGTAGACCACTGTTACGCACGCCTTTCACCGTTCTCTTCGCATCCATGTGGGTATGCGCACTGTATCGTTCGCTGGTGTGACCTGAGTCCTGACTGGTACATTCTGTTAAAAAGCAATCAGGCTTGTCCCCACATGCTGAGCACGAACAAGAAGGGTTGCCGCGATTCACAACAGATCCATCAGTATCTTACACGTGTCTCTTAAACTGCGCAAAAAGTTATATTCTTGCCGGAATGAAGCGTCCGGTGGTGAATAGGCATTCTCTCCTGCTGTGCACTCAAGGACACCTGGTCTTGATATGGAACTCAGTGATTTGAACGCTATTGAAGTCACAACTTGTCTAGTTGACCGTACCGATTCCTGCACTGCCTGGTGGGTGGACTCAAGACAGATGCGGTCGCATACGTATAATACGATTTGCGTAGCCTCGTCTTTCGTTATAGAGCGGAGTGCAGCTCGGCACCGGCCGGATTGCTATAGTCTACTTATTGGCTGGCAACCTGTGTTGTTGAAATCATTTGTGTTATAACACCAGTCATATGTACGGATCTGATCGATCCTCGCACCCAGTACATTCATCAGCCCAATGGTATACGCCACTGCTCATTCGTCCTTCATCGGATCTCCGCGCTTGGTAATTTGGTGGGTTCACCAGTACTGGTGAGAAATTCATTCTGACACTTAAAATGTACCTGTGTCTCAGTGACAGTTTGCGCTGGTCTGGTTAGAAGGCGGAATCTTCATCCTACAGTCTAAAGGCACGTCATGGTGGGTATATAAATTGAAATATAGCTGTATTACTCTGCATTCATGGCGTATTGCGGCGACAGGGGCACATCTGTGCCTATTTGCCGATTACTAGGCAACACAAGCTTCCTTCTCTCTGATTGTTTTGCGTTTTCGCAACAACAAAAAAATGGTAGAAATGTAACGTGCATATTTATCTTATTTCGAAAGAAATCTATTGACGCTAACTGTGACGTATGACTACTTTTTAGATTTGCTCCAACAGTGCCTGGTATGCGATGAGGTCACAGAATTACGACACTGTTGATCATATTATTTTCAACTATGTCTTTTATAGATCTGTGTTCTATTTAATTTCTTTATTGTTAATTATCCATCAAATCTCCATATTCCACTTTGAAATATAAATTAAATACAAAACAAATCAGACAAATTTTGTCAAATTTGGATTTAAAGTGAATGTTTCAAATTATTGTCGTTTTTTCTGTGTCCAATAATCTATTGAAAAGAGTTGGAATGCCAAAGAATGAGCTCTTGTTGGAATTGGTCTGTGTGCAAGCGATATAAAACTCGAATCTTAAAAGCACAATACTAATAAAGTACGTCGATTGATGGCCATTTACAACGTTTCCTAACCAACACAGATATAGTGCAGCTAGTGACAGTCAAGTGGTTTTAATCCGGTCGCATCTATACAGGGTATAGTGACATGGAGGTGCTTATAACAAAGTGTTTCTGCACATAAAATACGTGTCTGCAAGTGAATATATTTCTCACAACGAAAACACGAATCGAATAAGCCCATCTATGAGGCAATAGAGGGTTGAGTACCTCCATTGTTCTTTACAAGTCTAACTCAAATTTATAACATAAATAGCACATCAGCTGTGCTTTATTGTATATAGCTACCAGGACATATCACACATATAAGGTCCACACATACAGCAACATGGAGCTTCTATCAGTTGTGGTTGTAGCCAACCATGGTAGTCGCACTCGCTTTCCTGTGACAGCTCGAGAACTGGCAGAAGGCGAAGCACAACTGGTAGGCATATTGATTTATTCTTTGTGTTTGTAAATCTGTGGCTACTTATACCTAGCATTGTATTCGGAGTCAAACTATGAGTTCACCTACCTGCGATGCAGTATCTGACACTATTCGAAATTCTATGAACCACGTGGTTTGTAGTGTTGTGGCAAAGGTGTGGCCACGTATTATACTTTTACGTTGTCAAGACAATTACATGGGCATTTGAAATTTTCTCGCATTTTGTACCCATGTTCTCTGTGATTATAACGCCATGTAATCGCTACTATGAGCCCGTTAATCGTTGTCAGCTATATGTGCACAAACGCCCGTTTACGCTAGCAAAACCGATCTTCATTACTTGTGGTGTTATCTGGCTTTTGTGTTGACTGGGGACGAGAAACGCAAGCTGATAGATGTAATCGAACCACGCAAGCTGATAGATGTAATCGAACCACGCAAGTGTATCTCTTAAAGGGTTGGCCGACTGCTTGAAGCTGTACGTGTGATAGTTTTGAATGATAAGCATTCGAAATGGCTCGGTCTTTTCTCGTGCGATGAATTTGTTCAAATTAGCGTTCCGTTACTTGGCATATATGTAATAGTACTATAACGGCTTTACAAGAATATTCAAGTTCTATTATTTGTTGGGTTCCATTTATATATATATGTATGTTGCATTCGTCTGTAGAACGTCTTTGTGTCCGTTAGCATGCTCGTTTTTCTTATTCCTATGCCCTTAACCACGACTCACATAGACTGCTGAGGGACGGGACTAAATGCGGCGCGCAGGTCAGTACGTACGCAACACCTATCTGGTGTATCTGGTGGACAACGCTGTAACGCACATCAAAAGTGCCACCTCGGCCCATTCACGCGATCAGGTGTGCTTGCTGATGGTCTGAGTGGCTCTCGCTGTCATTCGGTTTGCTGTATGATTATAAACTGTGTGGAATGAGATTGCCCACACTGTTATGCACATCAATAGTGAATGCGCATACTGTAAGCCTGATAGTGTATTTGTCGATAGTTACTATTCCGCTGAGCACTCCTTATAAATCCATACATAGCGTTGTCGGTGTCTACATGCCTATATCCACCTTCTAATTGTCCCATTTGTTAATGTTCAGGTCTCTGTACAGTCCATCGACACTGATGTAGGGCATGAGAGTGCACACCATCTCATCAGTGGCATGTACAATTCGAATGATCTGTTTGTCCCCGTCACATCACCTGCAATCGACACTGACTTCCTGCTGCTGGGCCATAGTGACTGCCCACACTTTGATCAGGAGGTATGCGTCACGTTTGTGCCGCTGAGCATACACCCATATACTTTTTTAGGATTTATTCACGTATTCTTTTCGGCTTTATTCCCATATTCTTTTGTGGTTTATTTCCAAATTATTTTATTGTTTATTCTCATATTCTTCAAGGGGTCTAATCACATATTCTTGACATTTACAAGCGCGCAAATCCCATGTGGGTGGGGCTGGGAACTACCTATCACTTCATACGCTGTTGTGCTGATGTATACCTTACCTTTGAGTTTATCAGTCAGTGCACTCAGATGTCTACATTCGTTTTGGCCTTGGTGTATATTCCAACATCTAATTTGAGCTGTCGGTCCCGATTTTGCATCACAGATATCAGTTTTCCACGCGAGTGCCGCTTTCGCAACCAAAATCACCGAATCCGAAGTATTGCGAACAAAAGCTCTTGCATTGGCAACAACAGCCATCAACAGCACAGAGACCATTTCAGAGGACCTTTCGGATATCTATCGCTTGTATGTGTTGCTCAGCAGATATCTTATTGCTCGGGATTGTACTGTGGAGCTCAGAGGGAGTGTATGGCTGCACCCTGTGTGTTTGCACTTGGTGCTTTTGATGAGTTTATATATATATATATATATATATATATGTATATTTACGTAGATTGTATACTGCATAGCGTAGAAAACCTTTTTATTTATAAACTGCGACATAGTGACCCGTTCACTGACATGCGCGCTCGTCCCTACACACAGATATGATATACTGTCTACCACCGACAACCAGGACGTGTTGTCGCAGGTGAACGACACGCTCGTGCAGTTGGAACGTCTGACCACGTGGGTGGAGTTTGCCAAGTTCTCTAGCAAGAAGGCCATCACAACCGCCACGGGACGCATGCTAGACAGCGTGCTCAATCACTTCCGTGACATTCAAGCGCACGTGGAGGTCAACCCTAACAGTCACCTGTACCAGAAGGTGTGTCTGTTGCTTCATCCCACATCGCTTTTAGGGTTTATGCTGGGCTGTGTAGTGGCAAAGACCTGTGCGTGCGTGTGTGCGCTGTTGTGAACGGCTGGTGTGTATTCTTGCATGCTTACTGTGGGCATCATCCACAGAATCAAGCAACCATTCCGACTGCATACCCTCCCCTGCCTTTCCTCTAACTTGCGTTTTGCGAAGTTTTAATGGCACAGTATTTGGGGGTGTAGGGTTTAAGGTTTATTCTTTTTGTTGTCGTCCTTCTCTGACTGTAAACGCTCGTTCGACCATCCGACAGATGAAGGTCTACTCAGCCGACTACACAGTGCTGGTGCCGCTGCTGACTCACATTGACACAGGCGTGGGTTCCTTCGACATCCTGCCCAGCCCTGCGTCACTGGTGGCCTTCGAATACTACCGGTAAGCATATACTGGGTTCAGGGTTTTAGGGTTTTAGCGTGCCATATCAGCCACACGTGTGTGCATGTACCGTTGCATAGTCCCGTCTACTTCTGCACACACGGTTACCCTTTCGCAAGGGCTCTCGAGCCTTACCATAGCGCGCATACGTCATGCTTACCTCAGGCACCACACCTCGTCTCACCCCACAGAAACAACACAGTTCAAGGAGCCACCTACCAAGTGCGAGCAGTGCTGCGTGAGTCTGACCAGCGCGAGAACGGCACAGCCACGCACGTCTTTCCCAACGCCACTGTGGGCGACAACGCACACGCCCTGCCCATCCCCACGTGCCAGGGCCAGCAGTTCTGTGATTGGGCGTAGTTTAACGCGTACATGGCACCGCTGAGCATCGCATCAGATGTGGTAAGTGACGTGCGCTACACGGGTGGGCTGGGGCTGGATAGTGGAGTGTGATATGTTTGTAGGGTTAGGACAGCAGGTTGTGATATGTTTCTAGGGTTAGGATAGCATGTTGTGATATGTTTTTAGGGTTAGGATAGCATGTTGTGATATGTTTGTAGGGTTAGGATAGCATGGTTGTGATATGTAGTGATGTGCATGACTAGTTTTAGTAGCAGTGTTTTGTAATAGGGTCGTGTGGTGTTGGCGTTGGTTGCAGTATGTAATGCAACGTGTTAGACCGGTTATACTTTGAGCTGTGCTGTGTGCAGAGACTATAGTTATACTTTGAGCTGTGCTGTGCGCAGAGACTATAGTTATACTTTGAGCTGTGCTGTGCGCAGAGACTATAGTTATACTTTGAGCTGTGCTGTGCGCAGAGACTATAGTTTTACTTTGAGCTGTGCTGTGTGCAGAGACTATAGGCCTAATGTGGTCGCTGCATTGAACGCATTGAACTTCCGGAATGTGTGCATATCCCGTGGTCATCGCAGATCATACTATGCATATAGGTGACGACACCATGTATATGTAATGTATATGCCATGTATATGTCATAAACATGTCATATATGATATGTATGATATGTATCTGTTGGCCACAATAATCTCCCATAACCTACCGTCTTTGTATTGAACTATAATTACGTCTTTACCATATAACAAGTATCCTCATCCTCACCTTCTGATGCGTTGTCCCTGTCCTGGTTGTGCAGGAATGGTGGAATGGTGTGACTACTGCACACTACCCGAAGACTCGGCCACATCGTTTCTGATCTCCCCCCGGTGCGCTATGGTAGGCGTAGACAAGTCACAGCAGAGACACCACTCCACCACACTCTGCGTGCACTCGAAAGCCTCGCAGCTACAGCACCCCCTCCATGCCCCCACATCTCACCGCGCATTCGTAGAAGACAATCCGCTCTCCCCCTTCGTCCATGGCCTGCGCGTGTCGTCGTCGCCTCTGCCAGCCACTGCCGATGCAGCAAGCACAGACCCTTCGCTGGTAGAGGGTCCGGCGGTAGGGAGGGCGCCCCAAACCTCAGCCCTGGCCATTTGGGCGGTTGTGTTGTTTGGGTTGGCTATCCTCGCCACGGGTGTGTGCTGCATTACCGTCTACTGCAAACGCCAGAAGCGTAAGCGTGACATCCAGAACCTGCGCAATGTGTACTCCATGACTGGTCGCCCGTCAGCGGCTGATCACAGTCTTAAGTTTGGCCAGGCGCGGTTCGGAGAGGACAATATTCTGTCCGTAAGCCGCGACTCACTACCGGTATGTGAAGAAGGCAGACAGCCCAATTTAACTTAAACGAGGTGCATGGGGTTCCTTGTTGCAATATTAACTTGTATTTGAATTCGTCGCTGCAATTTTGTTTTGTGACTTGGTCGTGCAATGCCTTTAGACTTTTAGTGGGCCGTGTTGCCCGAGTGTCGGTCCTGTACTTTTTTAAAAACCCTAAAAACCTAACTACAAGTGCAGCTGTCGACTTGTCATGCCATGCATCAGATAGCTAACTTTTCCCATCCCTTCCCTTCTGCCTATTCAGCCGAATCCATCGATGGTCAATCCTGATCCACGGTGCAACTACGACGAGCAGGCCGACCCCTATGCTGAGCCCGATCTCATCGGCGACCTCAGCACCACAGACACCAACAGCAAGCTTGTGGATGTGGCAATGGGCGAACGACCCACCGCCACGCGCACAAAGACACGAGCCCAACGCACACACACCCTCATTCCCACCTTTGCCGATATAACATCCCCACAACCCGCCAACGCCGCCACGCGTAGTTCCGCTTATGCCGAAGGAGCCGTGCCCGACTTCATGCCGTCCTCACCCACCATGCCTCACATTCTCAGTGTACGTGCCAGAGGAGTGTTGGGCGTGGATTCCGATGACCACTTCGGCTCAAATGGTCACTAAAAGGCCGTAGGACATGGATGAGCATACGTATAATACGATAAAATACATAGTACGACAAAGTAACATAGGAAAATAAAGCCAGATATTAAACGCCATGAGACTACACATAGTACGACAAAACACTAAATGAATACAACCAGATATAAAACGTATATGAGACTACACATAATACAACAAAATATCTTATTGAATACAACCAGATATAAAACATCTATGAGACTACACATAGTACGACAAAACACCTAGATGAATAAAACTAGAGATAAAATATATATGAGACTACACATAATAAGACAAAACACTTAAATGAATACAACCAGATATAAAACATCTATGGAACTATTCATAGTACGACAAAACAGCAAATATAGTATACAGCCCGATATAAAACATTTATGAGACTACACAAAGTACGACAAGCTACTTAGGGGAATAAAGATATGTACAACACATCCATATGTATATATATATATATTTAAATGAATATATGTATAT